TTGGCCTTTGCAAACACCTTTGCGGCGGCGTTAGTTCTGGGAGTTGACAAGCAGACTAAGCTTATAGACATACAGATCGTCTCGACACTGCCGCCGGTGAGTGTTCCGGTCACTGCCAATTGGAAATACATGTCTGCCTTCGTGTAAGTATATATACCTTTCCGATCCGAGTATAATATGCCTGCCGGCTAGCTTCTTCTATTATTGAATAGATTTTTTTTTATTGAAATAGATTATGCGCTTAAAAGGTGGGTTTTTTCTTAAATATTACTAATAAAAAGTCATGAGCAAAAATATTACTTAATAACTATTAGTGACTATAATTGTGTTCAAATTTATATCGTAGTAATTATGTTATTGCGATATAAACTTTGAGTACAATTATAGTCACTAATAGTTACTAAGTAATATATTTGTCCACACATTTTAATACGGAGTATATCCAATTTAACATATTGGCTCGGATATTCTTTAGAATTGCATAATGCTTATATCCTCATAGGTAAACATGTATCAGTAAATCATAGGTTGTGAAAATAAGACGATCATTGTTTCCTAATAAAGACAATATTCATTTGATCCTAGACAAATAATATAATTTAAGACTCTAATTGCTCATAATAGATCCTAATAATAATAACAACCATTTGATAAAAGTTATAGCAAAAAGAGTAAAACACATATTCTAAACAAAAATATAATAAGACTCTAATTGTTTTAAAATAACACTAATAGTGATTTGATCCAAAAAAGAGTGAATAATTTATTTTCTAAGAATGAATGAATTATATTTTAAAACAAATTAAATTGACTACCTGAAGTACTTGTTTCATTACATGAGAATTGAGATGAAAGAATAGACCGATTACAAATTACTCCAAACTAGCTAGAATATGAGTTATTTTTATAAATATATAGGATGATCCTTGTTTTTACATCCGAAATATGATTCATTAGTCCAAAAGGAGAAGAAACTAAATAGAGAAAAAAGTAATCTCAACAATAATAATCTCACCCATAAACAGGGGGAAAAGTAATCTCAACAAAAAAATCTCACCTATCACCCGCCAGTCTTCCAAAAATAATCATATCTAAACGTGATCTCAAAAAAGTATTACTCCGTACCTTTTACTTGGAACCTGGTTAGTTGATGACATGTTATTCCATGTTTGATTTTTTTGCTTTTTCTTTGAAAAACATTATATTAAACAATTATCACACCATTAACCGATCTTCTGAAAACGTATTGTATTATCTATCATTTTTCATATTTAATTTTCCCCTGGAACTTTCCCCTCTTTGTTTTATCATCTCAATTTTTTTCCTTTTTTATCTTGTTATTTTATTTATTTATTTTCCCTTTTTATTTATTCCCATTCCCCCTATCAAAAAAGCTTTTTTTTTGTAGGAACTCCCTACTTTTTGCTTCTATCTTTGCTTCTTTGAGGGTACACTAGAATTTTTACACAACAAGATTAAATATGTTCACAGATAAAATGAGTGTTCTCATTAAGAACAAAATTGTTGTTGTACAATATGTCAATGTGTATATTATGCATCCGACTAACACGTGCAGACTGTAATTTAAGAATGGGAAAGTTCTCGAAATAGGAATAAAACAGTTTGAAAATTCCAAAATAGGACTGCCATGTTTTTTATTCCCAAAATAGGAGTAATTACTACCAAGTTTGGAAAATATTGCCATGTTTGAAGTTTGGTACTGCCAAAACATGACAATAATTAGTCTTATTTTGGGAATAAAAACATGGCAGTCCTATTTTGGAATTTTCAAACCTTTTTAGTCCTATTTCGGGTAATTTTAAATACTAAATACAAGTTTATAATAGCTCAACTGTCTTCTATGCATATATGGTTGTACAGTATCTATTAATTTCAACTTTAAAGCTACTATTCAACTTGCTTGCATCCAGAGTGTCCATCCCTCAACTCAACTACATTAGAGTATGTTTCATCCGAAAATGAGAATAAAAAATGGAGGGGTGGGGGAGAACATGTGAAGACATGATCGGACCACGTACGCATGGTCATTTCTAATAAATGTAATCGAATGTAATTGTTGACCTGTCAAACCTTAATTATAGGTACTTTGTGCTTAAGGTTCGTGAAGGTGCATTGCATGTGCATGCATACGCAGCTGTTTCTCTGTTTTTAATTAACGTAATTGTATGTAATTACTGACCGGTCAAACCTTAATTATACTACTCAGATCATCATTATTTGTGTTTAAGGTACTTTGTGGTGGTGAATAGCATTGCATGCGCATACGCAGCTGTTTCTCTGGTCCTAATGCTGGTGGCCAGGGGAGCAAAGAGCAGCCGCATGACTTCATTGTTCCTCATCATATCAGACCTACTAATGATGGGGCTTCTATTTTCCGGCGTCGGAGCCACCGCCGCAGTTGGTCTTTTGGGTTTCACCGGCAACTCTCATCTGCGGTGGAACAAGGTGTGCAATGTATTCGGCAAATTTTGCGCTCAAGTTGGCGGTGCTATATTTGTTTCCTTTGCCGGCGCCACCTTCTTTCTGTTGCTTGTTCTACTTGCTGCCTTAAAACTTCACAGTAATAATAAGCATCATTAGTAGATATATATATGTATGTACTCAGCATACAATTAAATGAATTAAATAAGTTGTGATCATTAAAAAAAGGTTGTGAATTGTGATCACATTTAATGTATCGTGTTGTTTGGTACCACATCCGTCCCATTGAAATTGATGAGACATGATGATTTCACATGGTGTCAATTTAAGAAATACTCCCTCCGTCACAAGTTCTCAGTCACATGGTCAACTTGAATCACTTTTAATCGTTTACTTTATATATCAATTTTTATCAAACTTAAATTTTTTCTTGATCAGGCTTTGTGACGGTTTTAATCTAGTTTCTGAATATGTAAATTTTATTTACTAAAAATAATCCAAGTGTGAACAGAGATCGAGTTGTTTTACCGTCATTCAAACATCGTAAACCGAACGGGAACTTCTTTCGGGGACGGGGGGAGTACATTAGCCATGAAATGAGTATGACTAAAACTTCTTCATGTACTTTTTCAATATAATCTTATAAATTTTTCTCAAAATAATACTCCATATTTCATTGTTACTCCCTCTGTTCCATAAAATAATTTTTACTTTCTTTTTTTAGTTGTCCCAAAAAACTGTTCTCACTTCCATTTTTGGAAAGTTTTTTGTGACTATATATCATTCTTTTATCTTTTTTCTTACTCAACCACAACCATATATCTCTGTTTTATTCTCACTTTTTTAAACTCCAATCCAAATCGGAGTGAACACTATTTTATGGGACGGAGGGAATAATATTCAAATTGAAATAATCACACATTTATGACTAAAATAAAGATTGTTTACCAAAATGTGATTAGTGACTTGAATAATAATGAAATCATTGTAAGTTATTTTTAAGGGAAAGCTATCAAATAAGCCCTTGTACTATGTCGAAAAAGTCGATTAGGCCCTCGTACTTTATAAACATGCAATTAAGTCCTCCAACTATTAAAAAACGTTCAATTAAGCCCTTTCGGTCAGTAAGTAACCGGTTTCCCGGTTAAACGACGGTGACGGCGACGATGTGCTCGAACCCCAGCAACAGCGGCTATCGGGAAACGGGTTACATTTAACCGGGAAATCGGTTACTTACCGACCGAAAGGGCATAATTGAACGTTTTTTAATAGTTTGAGGACTTAATTGAGTGTTTGTAAAGTACGAGGGCCTAATCGACTTTTTCGGTATAGTACGGGGGCTTATTTGATAGTTTTCCCTATTTTTAATGTTTAAACTTAAGTTACTATGACACCACATTATAGTACAAGTAACTAATAGTCATTTTTATGTAAATACATTTTATTTTAGTTATACTTTTGTAAAAAAAAAACATTTAAATAATGTATTTAATAAAATAAATAAATAAATGATTTATAACTTCTTCTCCATCCTCCTCCACCCCTCATCCTTCTCCCTTTTGTATTTCTTGAAAAAAAGGGTTGATGGGGTGTCAGGAGGAAGGCACTGATCGCCGATTAGGGACGAAGGACCCTACCTATATATCTCAATGAACGAGTATTGCACCCTCAGCTAGCAGGCAGACAAGGGGATCCATTCTTTTTTTGCTCGCATCGACACTGTAATTGCCGGCATTGAACTTGTACAGTGAATCGGAGGTGCAACAATGTAGAGCAGTAACACCGACATAAAGTGAAGTTATTTAACTGAATATAGAATACTAAAGTTATCAAATCTAAAAAAATTAAAAAGAGCTATAAATTCCTAACGTGGGTGGCCTGGGTAAAGAAGTAATTTAGCAAATAATGCAATGATTCTGACAAGGAATGCAATAATGTTGTGCATGAAATGTAATATATTTAGTTGAACGAAAGTACTCAAGCAATGTAAAATGCACCTTTTTTTTAATTAAGTTATTTTCGTCCTTCAACATTTTAATATGACAGTAATCTTTGTTTTGTTTTCAATTGAATGAATGTCTAAAAATAAAATAGTCATATTTAGAGAAACTCAATACGATAGTATATTTTTGGCATATCCTAGAAAAGTTCCCTAAGAAATAAGGACTATGAAGATTTACTCTTTTGGGTACATCACAAAGAAAGGATACAAGTAAGATTGAATCATCATCAGCATCATCATCACAATTACTAATTACTACAACTCAAATAGTCTATAAAGATACATTTTATAGAGGTTTGTCACCAATTAGACGACAATATGATGCACTCTTCAAAAGTATTTATTTGGGATGTTTTTACTTGGACTATAATTTGCTGGTTTGGTCTGGTAATGTCTGGTCTCTTTGTATTTTTATAACTATCCAAGTTTGGTCTGATCTGTTCTGGTCTAGGACAGATTACAAGTAAAAACATCCTTACTCCGCATAACAAAAAGTCAAAAACATACAATAACTATCAATTTGATACGATACTAAAAGCATTGACATTTAATGGCTTAAGGTCTAGCGGAGCTATTAGTTCCCCCTGTTTGTCAGATTTATGACATGAATCACATGATAAAGCCGATTATTAGAAGAAAAATAAAGTTTCTTGCCTTTGCTAGTTCAGTGATCAAGATCTGCAACATGAAAAGTTTACTAGTAGTCTAGTACCATGTAGTAAAAATGTGAAAATGAGGCAAACATTCAAGTGCAACCATGTAGTGTACTCTTTTATTGTCTATGTAAATGAAAACGAGAATGCACATACATATATTCACTTAGCTGCCCGTCTATCTGCTCACTACAATAAAAACATATTGCGACAGGACAGAAAATGGAGAATAAAAGATGGGATGCAAGGATGCATGTACAGAAGAGTACATATATCATGCATTGACTACCTTTTTACCTTCACATACATCACAAGTTACAAATCCAAAACCTTCACAATATGGACACTTTGCTCCTTCGCCCACCCATTCCATAAACTGAGTGAAAAATGATACTGTTAAGAATAATATAGAAGTCTTAACTACTACTTAGTAGAAGTCCTAAAAACTTGCATAAAGTTATTTGAATCAATCTGGTACCTGAGGCTCAATATTTGGCTCGCCAGTTCCATAACAGTCTGCACAATGAGAATTTATTCAGTTGAAAAAAGAACAGTGTTTGTAAAAATCCATGTCTTGATTACTTGGTGTGCCAACTGCCAAGCAGTGCGGAATTGTTTACCCAAATGAAAGACAATTATGTCAAACAACAGCTAATGACATCATTCCTCTCAAGCACACCAAGTGTAATGTCGCTTTTGTTGTGTCTCTTCACATGAATTAAGTGTTAACGGCCCTTATCAAAGAATGCATAAATATTCACTATTACAAAGATTGGCAAGACATGATGGAAAATATATTTTACAACAGTGCAATGCAAGTGGCAACAGCTGCTGCGTATTTCAAATACTTCAACAACAAATTAACCCCCTTTCCCCGCTCTCACCTTTTCAGACACACACATACTCCGTATGTGATTTACTATTTCATATAAATTTAAAATAAACAAGACAAAAAATGGATATTGCTTATAAAAAGATATTGTAATAAGAAAAACAAGAACCAAAATGTACCCATGCATATTAAGTGGCCATCACCGTGGCAAGTGAGACACTTTCTTGTTGTCATGTCACTTGAACTCTTGGTTGCAGCTGATTGTGTGTTTCCCTTAAGCCAGCTGGATGGTTCTTCCCACCGGTTCTCTCCAAGTAGGAACACTCTACGCTGGGTCACATCAGTTTCCATGTCCCCTTTGATGACTTTTTGCTCAAATTCTGATATTCCCATTATAGAAGCAATTGGTGCTCCATTTGCACACACCTAAACAATGAAATGGTGACAATAAATAACCATATCTCGAAAACTCAAGATCACGCTTTTGATTCATCTTAGGATGGATTTGTATTGCAATGTGTCTAACACAACTCTTGGGATAACATTTTATTAAATAAAAGATATGGTTTATTAAGTGATAGGGACACGGTCCATGCTGACAAGGAAGATAGATATTACGGCCAAGTTTATTCTAGAAGGAATAAATAGGCTAGTCATTATTAGTTACTTTCTGTTATATTGCTTGTAACTACTTGCAGTTAGTCTACGAACTTATAAATAGAATAAAGAAGGGCTGGGAGAGGTAGGCTGTTAGATGCTGGGACTGGGACTGGGAAAGATCGAGTGTTATCTCTTTCTTTTGGACTTGTATACGGTTTACCATATTGAAATAAAGTTGCAGATTGTTCTTGAGCTCAATTTCTCTGTAATTTAGCTTGATTTCTTAGTGATTTACTGTTCTGAACTTGCGCATCTCTATCATTGGTATCAGAGATGCGCAAGTTCAGAACAGTAAATCACTAAGAAATCAAGCTAAATTACAGAGAAATTGAGCTCAAGAACAATCTGCAACTTTATTTCAATATGGAAGGGAGAATGAATGAAATTGAGCGGATTCAACGAGAAATGGCTGCAACCATGGAAGCGAACAGGGTGACGATGGAAACCAATTTCGCAGCGTTGATGGAGAGAGAGCGGAATCGATCGCGAAGCAGATCGCATACGTCGCACTCTTCGCATCGAACTTTTCATCGCAACCACAAGAGGGGATCGGACAGTTCAGACAATTCCGATGATCAATCGGTATATTCTTCATCGCATGTGAATAACGATCACCACAGAAGCCATCGCAATCATCAAACAGGTCGGAAAATTGACCTACCTCTTTTTAATGGCCAAGATGCTTTCGGATGGTTAGTTAGAATGGATCGTTACTTCAGGTTGAATAAGACCAAGGAAGAAGAAAAAATTGATGTTGCTGTGATTGCTATGGAAGATCAGGCACTTAGTTGGTTTCAATGGTGGGAGCGTCAAGCCCTACAGACGAACTGGGAAGATTTTGAAGAAGCGTTGACCAAGAGGTTCCAACCTGACCTCGTGCAGAATCCATTGGGACCTTTGCTCAGTTTGAAGCAAAGAGGTTCAGTTACTGAGTTCAGGGCACAGTTTGAAGTGGCTATGGCTTCCCAAAAGCATCTTAGTGAAGAGGTTTTGAAAGGAATATTTCTGAAGGGACTCAAGAGAGATATTAGAGCTGAATTGAAATTATACAGTACCAGAACTCTAGCTAAGGTCATGGATGTAGCCTTGTTGATTGAGAATAAAAACAATGAAGTCCTGATAAAGAAGAACAAAGAAGAAGGCAAGAAGAGGTGGAATGGAAAAACTGGATCTGAGAATCAGCAGCAGAATTGGGGAAACAGTAATAAGTGGAGGAGCAACCCTAATGCTACCACAGGTTCTGGGAAGATCATACAGGAGAGTAAACCACCTGACAATGCGATAACTCAGAATGTTAAGCAGAAGGGGCCCAGATTATCACAAAGTGAATTATTAGAAAGAAGCAGGAAAGGCTTGTGTTTCAAGTGTGGGGAAGATTGGAGTAAAGGACATGTATGCAAGATGAAGAATTATAGAATGATGTTAGTGGAACAATCTGAGGAGGAGACTGAATCAGAAGCTGAATCACTGGAGCATGGAGATGATAAAACTATAACTCTGGATTTAAAAACCATGCAGCTATCTGTGTTAAGCAAAGAAGGGATACCTTCTATGAAAACATTTAAGGTAAAAGGAGTGATGAGGTGGCCTGGTGGAGAACACACAGTTAACGTACTTATTGACAGTGGTGCATCTCACAATTTTATCTCACAAGACTTGGTGGAAAGATGGAAAATACCTTATACTGCAATTCTGGGATACAAAGTGCAAATTGGCAATGGGGAGTGCATACCTAACTGTGGCAAGTGTGCAGGAGTGGATTTGAATGTGCAAGGGGTTGAGATTCAGCAGACATATTATCTAATAGAATTAGGAGGCACTGATGTAGTTCTTGGTATGGAGTGGTTGTCTGCACTTGGAGATATGGAAGTGAATTTCAAAAACCTGATCATCAAGTGGAAGCATCAGGGAGTTACCTGCACCATTAAAGGGGACACTTCAATGAATCAAATGGAGGTATCTTTAAAAACTATGACACACCTATTAAAACAAACAGGAGATGGGTTTTTGCTGTGTCAGGAAGGTCATATGAATATGCTGGAACAGAACCAAAGCACAGGAGGAGAATGGGCAAGTGTAATAGCTGAATTCCCAGAAGTATTTACTTCTCAACTGAAATTCCCTCCGGAAAGAAATTGTGACCATGCCATAAACATCAAGGAAGGGGCAAGCATTCCAAATTTGAGACCTTACAGGTACTCTTTTGATCAGAAAAATGAGATAGAGAAGATTATTGGTGAAATGCTAAGTTCTGGAATTATCAAACATAGCAACAGTCCCTATAGTAGTCCAGTCCTATTAGCCAGAAAGAAGGATGGTAGCTGGAGATTTTGCGGGGACTATAGAGCCTTAAATAAAGTAACTGTACCTGATAAATACCCCATCCCCGTGATAGAAGAGCTTCTTGATGAACTAGGAGGTGCCAGGATTTTCTCTAAGCTGGATTTAAAATCTGGTTATCACCAGATTCGGATGAAGGCAGCTGACACACATAAGACTGCCTTCCGGACCCATGAAGGCCATTACGAATATTTGGTTATGCCTTTTGGGCTGACGAATGCACCTTCAACGTTTCAGGCACTTATGAATGAGGTTTTAAGGCCTTTTCTAAGGAGATCTGCATTGGTGTTCTTTGATGATATCCTCGTTTACAGCAAAACTAGAGAAGATCATAAAGAACACCTAAGGATGGTTTTGGAGGCATTAAAGAAGAATGGTTTAGTGGCTAATATGAAGAAGTGCTCTTTTGGCCAAGATAAACTGAACTATTTGGGTCACATAATTTCTAAAGAAGGAGTAGCAGCTGATCCAAGCAAAATTGAGGCTATGAAGAGTTGGGCTGTACCCAAAGATTTGAAAAGTTTGAGAGGTTTTTTGGGCTTAACGGGGTACTACCGAAGATTTGTGAAAGGCTATAGTAGGATAGCTGCACCACTAACAACCCTATTGAAGAAGGATGGCTTTAAGTGGGATGAGATGGCAGATAGAGCTTTTGAAGATTTGAAAACTGCTATGATCTCTTTACCAGTTCTAAGGGTCCCAGACTTCAATCAAATGTTTGTGGTAGAAACCGATGCATCAGGAAAAGGTGTGGGGGCAGTTCTTATGCAAGAAGGAGGGCCCATTGCTTATATGAGCAAAGAACTCTCCCCCAGACATCTCACCAAATCAGTCTATGAGAAAGAGTTGATGGCCATAGTTTTTGCCATCCAAAAATGGAGGCCTTATCTGCTTGGAAGACAGTTTGAAGTTCATACAGATCAGAGAAGTCTGAGATATTTGACTGAACAGAGAATTATGGGAGATGATCAGCAAAAGTGGATAGCGAAACTCATGGGTTATAACTTCATCATAAAATACAAACCAGGGTGTGAAAACAAGGCTGCAGATGCCCTCTCCAGAAAATTCAACTTATTAGCTTTATCTACAGTTACATGCCAGCAGTGGGAGGGTCTGGAAGAAGAGTTGCAGGAGGATATGAAATGTAAAGATCTCATACAAAACACAATCAGCCAGCCAGATAAATATCAGGATTACAGGATGAAGGGAGGTCTATTATACTACCAAGGGAGACTGGTATTACCGAAAGGATCTGGGAGAATATTGGCTATATTGAAGGAGTATCATGACTCATCAATAGGTGGTCACTCAGGTTACTTCAGAACAATGAAGAGAATTTCCAGTTTGTTCTTTTGGACCGGGATGAGAGCTGATATCAAAGATTATATACAGAGTTGTGATATATGCCAGAGGAATAAATATCAGGCCCTAAAACCTGCAGGTTTACTTCAGCCATTGCCTATACCTAACCATATATGGACAGATATAAGCATGGATTTCATAGGAGGTTTGCCTAGATCTCAGGGTAAGGATACCATATTGGTAATCGTGGACAGGTTGACTAAATTCGCACATTTTCTGCCACTAACACATCCTTTCAATGCTAAGGAGGTGGCTGAGGTATTTGTACAGGAAGTGGTTAGAATCCATGGGTTCACTAAGACAATTGTGAGTGACAGGGATAGTATTTTCCTTAGCAAATTCTGGTCTGAACTCTTCAGGTTGGCAGGTACCCAGTTGAAGTATAGCACGGCCTACCATCCTCAAAGTGATGGGCAGACGGAGGTGGTTAACAGATGTGTTGAGACCTATTTGAGGTGTGTGACTGGAAGCAAACCAAAACAGTGGGTGAAGTGGTTACCTTGGGCTGAGTTCTGGTACAACACAAATTATCACATTTCTTTAAAGAACACTCCTTACAAAGCTTTATTTGGGCAAGAACCACCTACCATCATCCATGGAGATGTCAGTTTATCTGCAGTAGCTGAGGTGTCTAGGCTAACAGCTGAAAGGAATGACATATTGAAGGAATTGAAGGAAAATTTGGCTAAAGCTCAAAATTTAATGAAACAGCAAGCTGACAAACACAGAAGGGGAGTTGAGCTATCAGTTGGAGATAAAGTGTTTCTGAAAATACAACCCTACAAAATGAAGAGTCTAGCCAAAAAGGTTAATCAGAAGCTCAGTCCCAGATTTTATGGCCCTTATGAAATCTTGGAGAAGTTGAATCCTGTAGCTTTTAAGCTCAAGCTACCTATAGATAGTAGAATACATCCTGTATTCCACATATCTTTATTAAAGAAGGTACTGAAACCTCATGTTCTGTATCATGATCTACCAAAATGCCTCACAGAAGAAGGAGAATTACAAGTAGAACCAGAAGGAGTAAAAGGAGTTAGAATGAATCTTGAAGGGAGAAAGGAGATCCTGGTGCAATGGAAGGGTCTGCCTGCATTTGAAGATTCATGGGAAGAGGTACAGGCGATCCAAGATCAATTCCCTGAATTCCAACTTGAGGGCAAGTTGGATTTTCAGAAGGGGAGTATTGATAGGGACACGGTCCATGCTGACAAGGAAGATAGATATTACGGCCAAGTTTATTCTAGAAGGAATAAATAGGCTAGTCATTATTAGTTACTTTCTGTTATATTGCTTGTAACTACTTGCAGTTAGTCTACGAACTTATAAATAGAATAAAGAAGGGCTGGGAGAGGTAGGCTGTTAGATGCTGGGACTGGGACTGGGAAAGATCGAGTGTTATCTCTTTCTTTTGGACTTGTATACGGTTTACCATATTGAAATAAAGTTGCAGATTGTTCTTGAGCTCAATTTCTCTGTAATTTAGCTTGATTTCTTAGTGATTTACTGTTCTGAACTTGCGCATCTCTATCATTAAGTTTGTTTACCTTCACACTGTGTGCTATGTGGGTAGACTTGCATTCAAGAAGTGAACTTCTTTCAGCACTATATAGTAACCTAGGGCCTAGGGGGCATGTGAGTAGTAAAAATCTTAAGGTCTATTTACAGCCAAACATGGAATTTGCAGTTTAGTACGTGGTGAGTTTGTTCGAGCTACATAGTATTATATTAGTTGTTCTTATGATTCTTGAGTTTGAGATAATAAAAAAGTTAGATTTCTAGGAATGCTACATTTCTATTCTCTGACCTTTGAAGATTCCAGAACATGTTGCTCTGGATTACCTTTCAATCTCAAGTTAGAGTTCACAATTTTTTGTTGCACGAATAGCCTCTCAAGAAGTTCTGAAGTCATAATGCCATCTTCTGGGGCTCCAAATGAGGCCTGAAGCATCAGAAAAATGAAAACATCAAAATCAACATTGTAGTTACCTTCTATGCTAATAGGAATTCATAAGAATTCTTAATTTCACCATTTGAGTAAATTTTATTGCATAAATAAGAAGAAGCTAAGATCTCACCTGCCACGTTTTTACAGCATGCTCTGTTCCAGTAGAAAACGTAGAGTACTCCATTTCCTCCTCACCACAGTAAAATCCCAGCTTTAGCAGTGCCTCCTACTTAAACAAATTATGACAAAATCAGATGAGTGATTAGGGGTTTATGATTAACACAAAGATAAAGAAGCTAGAAGCACACTTCTATTCGAATAAAAAGTTATGCACGAAAAACACCAATAACATTACTCATTTAACTTCCGTGAATACAAACTAATATTGCATCCAGATGTGATCATGTGACTCTTTCTTAGTCACAATCGACAAAATGGATTCTCAGAAATAATGACATACAAACTATTGTCTTTAGTGAGCAGAATACACAACACATCAGTTTTCTGATTTTCTGATGTCTTGCCTCTCTTCTCTTCTCATTAATGTGCACATTATTCTCTCGTTACATGATTGTATAAGCACAGCATAGTATAACATTAACATCCCAATTTTTTAGTTCAACTGGCTTGAACCTAGGAATAAAATCTCTTTCGACATCACCACGACAGTTCGACTTATGGGAGGAGAACTGGAGGTTTACCAGCTTATAACTTCAGGATCCGCGGGATTATTCAGGCCAAAGGTCCAGTCACCCGTGTAACCAACAAAACAACAACAACAACAACAACATTACCCCAGTGCCTCAAAGGCTCCCACCAACCGTGGGGTAGGGGGGTTCGGATGTACGCATCCTTACCCCAGCTTTAAAGCAGGGAGAAACTGTTTCTGGATGCCGCAAAGGCTCCTACCAATGGTAATCATGAAACAATTAACAATGATATTAAAATATTAATTGAAGATACAAAACTGATTGGACAGTAGACCTGCATGAGACGAACATCATCTCCTTCAGATCCCTTCCTCAAAATTTCCCTCTTCGCTTCTATGGCCTCTTCCTCCACGTCTTTAACAGTTTCCTTTACAACAACTTCCTCGTTTTCCTTTGCTGCCTCTGTGACCAACGGCATTGCTTCGGCGGTATTTAAATTGGTTGCCGACCCCTCATCATTCACTTCCTACACAAAACCAGATGTGTCACAAAAAAAAAACTCCAAGCGGGTAAGGTTAATCAGATATATGAACTTTCAAGAAAAAATCGCGGTGAGTATTAAGAAATCAGAAGACAGTAATAGCTTCAGATTCTCATAACTTAAATACATAGGTAATGGCCAAAGTAATAGAACTTCATATGGTGAAAGAGTTCAAAATGGAACTTATCATCTTCATCATTAACCAAGCGCCGCAAAGGCTTCCCACTATGGTGGGGTAAGGGGGTCAGATTACCCTGCCTTACCCCGTACTCAAACACACAAACATGCGCAAACAATTTAGTAGGCAATTTTGCTTTATCCATCAAAATGGAACTTATATGGATGATAATTTAATTTATTATGCAAAACAATTAGCAGAACAGTGAAGCACGAAGGCTAATCCCTAACTTCCAACAACTGGACGTCATGAGGTGTCATGCTGGAGACCGAAGCTTCCGGCAATGAACTCCAACTTTTGAGCTCCTGAATTTGATGCTGCAGGATCTGAACTTCTCTCAAGAGAGCTTCTCGCTCTGCATTCCACCGGATCTCTTCTCGAAGCCACCGCTGCTCCTCCCTGAGCCACCGCTGCTCCTCCCGGAGCCACCGTGCCTCCTCTCTCTGCTCGAAGCCACCACTGCCTTCTATTTTAGAGGAAGATAACGCGAAGCAAATGTGATATTTTGAGAGAGTTTGAAGGGAAGGTATGAAAGGAAACGAAACTAATGTCGTTGAGTATGATGAAGAAGATTGGGGGCTCTGGTTTACTGGAGTGTTGCAACTGAAGTTCACTGGTAATGAAATCGCCATGGATTAGAATATAATTGAGAGAGACAACCGGGTGTAGATGGAGTTTCAAGATTTCTTTTTCTTTGCGCAGAATTTCAGTTGATGGCGGTTAGAACTTGGTAGTTGGGAAGTGCGGTTGTGGCGGGGAGTGCTCGAATTGTAGGATGGTGATTGGTGAAGTTCCGGATAATGTAGAATTGTTTTGGGAGTCTCTTCGGCACATATGTGCTTACACCGACTAGTCAGATCAGATGTAAAATATTGAGAAAATCATATTCCCTCCCTACTTTTTTTGTTTGCATACGTGTTCTCCCTAAACATAAAGTAAGGGTATATAGTAGGGTGAACCAAACCAGACTAGTAAACCCCCGGTTCCAATTCCGATTCCGGTTTAACCGAAAACCTCAGAGAGGTCTACTCGAGAACCGTCTCTTTTTAAATGAAATGTATTTTTATTAATGAACACTTTAATTTTTATTATTATTTTCATTAGTATTTTAACACAAATTGCTTGTATTGGAACTCGGAAAGGAAGGACCAATTTTTTTTATTTCACATGGTCTCAATTTCCAGGACTAGCCGTGGTTCAGGGGCGGCCCTGAGCGGAGGGCAGCAGGGGCGACAACCCTAGGCCCAAAAAAAGTGAAAAAAATTAGGCCCAATATTTATGTGTTATACTAAGGCTGAGTAGTCTGAGTTTTTAGGTCTATCAGGTATTTGTATCCAACTAGTAAGGCTCTGTAAGAATAATAGTAAGCAAATCGTAAAAACAAGAGAGGTTCCCATCACTTATGCTTGTAAAATCTACAACTCTATTAATCTACCTTTGGTGCACCGCCATCAAATCCCCAATCTATGTTTTTTTACATGCTACATTATTAGTTAATAGTTATGATAACTTTTTACTCTTTATCACAGAATTTAGATTTTTGTTGTTAATTTACTTATTGATTGTTGTCTTGTTGAACCGTGAACAACTGAAATTGTGAATTGGTTCATATTGTTGTTTGATCCCGAATTTGTATATTTTAAATTTGTTGGAGTATTAACTGCGGAGTATCATTTTTTCAAATAGTGAAATCGAGAATTGTTTTAGCTTTTCTAGTTAAAAATAGTTATGAAATTGAATTTTGATTTTGTGATAGTATTAAAAATTTCTTTTCTAAAAATTTAAAATTTCATTAATTTTAAAGTTTAATAAAACTTGACGAATCTGGATGTGGTATAGTAAAAAGAGAAGACTAGGGAAAATATTTGCATTTTTTTTAAAAAAAATTAGGCCTATTATAGAGCATTTGCCCCTAGGCCTTGGAACGGCCAGGACTAGCCCTGCCGTGTGGAACATTCAAATACAAATACAAATATGAATTTTGTTTTAGATTAATTTACCTATGAATAACCGGGTTTTATTCGAAATTTCATTTGAAGATGAAGACGTGTAGAATCATGTTTAGATTCTTAAAATACTCTGACCAAAAGAAGATAGTTGAAAAAGATTGCAGAGAAAAAAGGAAGTCAACCCAAAAAGATTACAAGGTGGTAATCTATCTAGGTGGGTTGACTTCCTTTTTTCTATATTGTAATCTAGAAAAAGATATATTACATTTTCTTCTATATTATAAAATATATAATATATAATATATAATATAGAAGAAAATGTAAAATACTCAAATTTATCTAGACTAGGAGTTAATTTTCCTTTTTTCAAGGTAATCAATAGAATACTCAAAAGATAGATTGCATTTTCTTCTATACAATTGTAAAATACTCTGACCAAAATGTAATCTATCTAGATTAGGAGTTAAAAACGAAAATGTAATCTATCTAGATTAGGAGAAATTCTTGAAATCTTAATTGTATGGTTTACAATTAACTCCTAATCTAGTAGATTACATTTTCTTCTATAAATTTGAGTATTCTCTTTTTATTGCAATTACACCTCTGAAACACTTTATTCAGTGAGTTTTTTGTCCATTCAAATAAAACAAGAATCCTTTTCTAGAAGTGAGTGAATTTTAGAACTAAATCTTACCAGCGGCTATAAACCCTAGCGCCGTAGCAGGTCTCTCCTTCTCTATAGCGACTTTCACGAAGGGTTTTTCTTCCGCCACTTTAAGCGTGCAACTTTAGTTTTTTTCGGCCTACGTTATGCTACGTTCGTTGCTCGGTGGCTGTTTTCCCGATTGAATTTTTTGCTGAAATTTAATATGAGTAAACTAGACTTGATGAAAAACATACTCAAAAAAATTCATCACAAATTTTCACCCGAAACTCGGGAAGAGCCCCAAATGGGCTCATCCAGACGGCAGTTCCCGTCAGGCCGGCCCGACATGAAGACTACTATTTATGAAACTTCCCTAATAAGAATGTATCATTACTCCAAATCTCCAATCAAAATAATTTCAACGTAAAATGAAGGTTTAAGAGTCATTTAGTGTTACTTTCAAGTTTCAATCAGCAGAGTAATTCTTAATCCTTCAGAGGGCAGAAGTTAGGGATGGACCCGGTTCGGGCCGGGCCCGGTTCGGGCCGTGAACCGGCCGGGCCTCGGTTCAAGGTTTGGGAGGCCCGGAACCGGCCCGGGTAACCCCGGGTCCGGTTCGGGCCGGGCCGCCCGCCCGGTTCACGGGCCGGGCCCGGTTCGGGTCGGTCCTTTTAATTTTTTTTTTATTTATATATTATATTATTATAATAATTGTTATTAAAAACAAAATTCAAGTGCATGATGTTGAAATAGGAAGTACATTTGAGAATTGAGGAAAATGTTTTACATATTGTGTATAATTTACTTAGAAAAGTGATTTGATTTAGAAAAGTGTAAGGAAAGTGATATGATTTAGAAAATTATACATATTGTGTAAGGAAAATGTTTTTAATTTTTTAATTAAGTAAAACTATTTTTACTTAGAAAAGTGATTTGATTTATAATTTACAAATGTTACAAAATAGGTGTATAACAGTATAAGTTGTAAGTTGTAAGTTTGTAACAAATTAATTAATTTACATATTAATATTACATATTTTAATTTAAAAACAGCCTTTACATTTTACAAAAAAAATTCAAGTTGTAAGTTATAAGTTTAAAACCAATTAATTAATTAGAGAAGTGCTACATATGAAGTACAAGTTTACAAATTAATTTTATTGAATTGAATTATTGAATTGATGTACACAATAATATAAAATAATTCAAGTATTTTTATTTCAAACAAGTACAATTGAGAATTAGGATGCATTTAAGAAATGTAATACATTTTGAAATAAAAAATCAATCGGAATCTCCGCCTTCGGTGGTTGTTTCCTCCATAAAGTGGCGGGTGGGAGCGATGGTCATTTCTTGAGTTCTTCGTTTGGCCTTCAACCAATCATGGAAGCAAACTAGCGTCTCAAGAGAGCTCGGGCTCAACCTCGTTCTATAATCGGTTAGGACGTTGCCGGCCGCACTAAATTCTTGTTCCACGGCAACTGTTGATATTGGCATTGCTAGCACTTGCTTAGCCAGTTTTGATAAAACCGGGAACGTTCTTTCATTGTCCTTCCACCACTTAAGAACGTCAAAATCATCCCCAACTTCATAATCAACATTCAATGTTAGATAGATAGAAAGCTCGTTAACTGAGCTTTGTTCAGTAGCGGGAGTTGCTCTACTTTTTTTCATAAGAGAACCAAATGCAGATTTTAAAAGTGATTTTCCTTTAGATGAAGAAGATGTTCGCGGCATGGGAGGGGGTGCATTACCATATTGTGCATAAAATTCATTATACAATTGATGAAATAAATTACTAACCTCGTTGTATTCTTGTTTAGGGTCGATGGGATTATCATCGAACTCTTGAGTTGGAAAAAAACAATTATAATAGTAATCTATACAACTTGGCAACGCGGCAAGTCTATAACGAGGATCAAGAACAAATGCAATACCATATATATGCGGAACATGTGAATAATATTTTAAAAATTTTTGTTTCATGAAATCACAAAAATAACTAACGTAAGCGGCATCGGAAAATTCTAAAAATGCGCCGGCGAGATTAACAGCTTCAACAAAAAACTCGTTTGCGGTAGGTTTATAAACATGACTAAAAGTTTGAGTTGCGTTATTAAAATATACCAAAACATTAACAATTTTTTCACAAGTGTCGATGTCAGCCGGGTTTATAATATAGTTACAAGTTTGTCTTAAAAAAGCAGGAAAATGTTCTTTATATCTAATAAGTACTTGAATTAAGTTATAAGTACTATTCCAACGAATAGACAAATCTTTAGGAAAAGCACAATAATTGACACGTCTTTCCTTCAAATATTGTCGCCATTGCATTTTTAGTGGAGTGTTAGCCCAAATCAATTTAATTCCCCCCTTCACTACCTCCAAAGCATTTCCTAATGCCGCTAATCCATCTTGTACACACAAATTTAGAATATGACATGCACAACGTTGATGAAAAAACCTACCCATCAATGTAGAAGCACCACACAATTCACGCAATCTAGGTATAGCAGCAGTATTATTACTAGCATTATCAAAACCTACAACCTAACAAACACCTTATCAAGCAAATTATACTCAATTAAAATACGCTCAATGAGAATATAAATATTATCAGCAGTATGACGATCATTGAATTCACGAAAAGCAAGAACACGTTTATGCATATTCCAATCATCATCAATATAATGTGCAGTAAGACCCAAATAATATAAATGATGATAAGTATCCTCCCATATATCGCTACAAATACTAACACGTCCATTAAAGTTTGCGAAAAATGTTTGTAAATTTTCTTTTTCGAAGTTATATTGCCTTATAACTTCTTTTTTAATCGTTTTGCGACTATAATTTCTAAATTGAGGATTTAAAGTGCCTTGAGCATAATCTCTTAAAGCAAGACTTTCGGAAAAAATATAGGGTAAATTTTCTTCAACAATTAAATGAGACATACCAGTCAAATGTTTTTTATCATCATAGGAGAAATTACCAAAGGGTTGAGAATTTGCAAACCTCGATATTTGTGTTTGCTTCCCCTTGCCCTTGTCTATTTTCGCATACTCCACAAGATGGGCGGACTTAAGATGCCTTGTGAGACTCCCGTATCCGCTAGAAGTTCCCAAGCTATACTCTTTGCCGCAATGATTGCAACTTGCGTACCATTTTTCGGTATTTTTGTCTTTCCTTTTTGTAAAATTGTTTTCAATAATAGGAGATTTAGATTTCTTACCAGTTTGGGTTG